GATATTAAATACTTTGTTTCTTTCATACTTATTTCCAAGCCAAAATTAACTTGCTTGCCAGAACAGCAGTATTAAAAAAGACTTCGACAACTTAAGCCCGTTTTCCACTTCACCATTTCGCTCGCCGCCCCGCGCTCGATTACATTAAAACAACATTTCCAGTTCACCTTTTATACAATAGTACTCTGATTTTCCATATTTAACATACAAGCCTCTAGTCCTGGGCTAGGGTACATTTTGATTTACGTCGGACAAAGCTACAGTTCGGTCAGACACCAATACACTCGGGTCGGACAAACAAAAACCCTCAGTTTCACTTTGGTCGGACAGAATGTCCGGTGGTTTCCTCTCTACGTCGGACAATTTCACGAATGGGTCGGACAATGTCCGTGACCGACCGATATTTTAAGGTCTGCGTGAAATAAAATAACGAGGAAATTTAACAAGGAATATTAAGTTAACGCAAATAGTGTAATTTCCAAGTTAACCAGATAATTTTAACCAGATTATTTTTAGAGTACATGTATTTATGCTACACGAACACAGTATATATGCTGACGTATGTGAATAATTACATTTCATATGTGATATATTCAAGGGAACTAAAGTGCATGAGTACCAGCGTGCAGTGTAAAAGCAAAGTCGTGTTCCATATTTACGCAGCTTTGGTTCTTGTTCTTATGCAGTTTTTAGAAGGTATTTGCGAGAGGAGACCAGTCAAAAAATCCGTTTGACTGTTCATAATTGGAACGAATCGGTCAACGCCCGTCATGATCGCCCAGCTACAGCCTATGTACATGAAACGCTACAGTGTACATCTTGTTCACAGGGTTTGTAAAGTTAGGACGAGCAAAATTCAAGGACTTTTCAAGGATTCTAAGAAATTCAAGGACTAAAGGGCTGAAAATAAGGCGTTAGAAACCAGTAAAAACTGACGTGAAACTATTCAAATAGTTTTAAAACAGCTTTGTAAGACATAAACAAAATTAGTTCAACAAAATCTCTGCATCTTTTAATTTCAAACAATTTCAGAAAATATCCAAAAAACTAAAGCATGAAGACAATTCAAGGACGTTCAAGCACTTCTTTATAAATTCAAGCACTTTCAAGGCTTCGAGTTTATATTTTTAAATTCAAGGACTTTCAAGTTTTGTACAAACCCTGTGTAATTATGCTGCACTTAATACAGTAGACGTTTTAATTGTTAAGAATAGAAGTGGGTCAACTCCCTAAAAACAATAATAATCAGTAAACTGCATTATTCCCAACCTGGGGACTTGATTGATCCTGCATACATTGCCATAACATTCCCTTGATGACTTGTAAATAGTGGTCTTGTTGGTTGCCAAAAATGCCAGGAAATGATCTAAAGTAAAACAGAAATTATCACGACATACTGCAGGTGGTTTCAAATTAAAAGTAAAGTCAAAGCAGTTCAAAAACTACCGAAAGCTTCAAGTTTAGTGTTGGCATATCATCATACAAAAATAGGTACGCATTGCGTACATGTGTTTAGCCTAGACAAAAAATGTGGGTTTCCGGTTTCCCGACCCTACCTAGCTTTTGGACGCCGAAATCCCGACCCTAAACTTTTTTATTGGATCATGCTTGTAAGTGTTTCCACTTAGAGGAAAACGTTTGTGGAAAATGGAAATTTGTCTTTCGATGTGGAAGCACAGACTAAACAAAATGGCGTCCGTTTTACAAGAAGAGATAGGAAACACACATATTTGTTTTGGCTCTATAGGATTAGCAATTGTTACAGCGTATAGCTAATTTCGTCCAAAATAAGTAAATTAATTGCTCGTTTGCAATCGAGGCCATCTTGGTTGATTTTTCAACCATTGAACCATAAAATTTTTATTCGTCATTCTTTGTCGTATCAGATACCGTATAAACTATCCATAATACAGCAACATTTTTTAAAAACAAACCAGAAAATATTAAATTATTTCGCCGTAAACGGCTAAAATAAATTTTAAAACTCTTTCTCGCCCAGCCCCAAGAATCGTAGATCGCTAGGAGCTGCCAACCTTTGCATGTTCATTGCAACGATTTATGGCCTCTGAAAGTCAAGCGAGGTTGTATACTATCAATTTACTCAATTGTTTGAACAAAAATATAGACTGGCTGAACATACCTTTCGCGGAACATACCTTTTAACATTTTAACAATATTTAGGTCACAAAATTTAAATAAGATGTGTTTTTGCAGGTACATTTTGAATTTCGCTCGCAGGCACGAAAAAATGGCATTATGGCATATTATGGCAGGCTTTCTGGGTTTGGAGGAGGGTTTGGGGAGTTAAAGTTTACCAGGCTAGCCACATGTACGCATTGCGTACCTATTTTTATGGTTTTCTACATTGTGGTTAGCAGGCTAACCACAAAAACGAAATCATCAAGGTCTGAGTAAGTGTTGGCATTGACTGACAAGAATAATATGCCTTTGATTATTCCAGTTATTACAAAAGTCAAATTCAATGCAATATTTGTTTAAAAATATTTTTAAATATTCACCACTTACAGTAGTATACGAAGTGAGCATTCACGTAAGTTTTGATCTTGAGAGTTGCAACATTCATGCAAAAATTTCAGTAATTCTTGCCAATGATTGTAGCCATCTTCATCTACATATGGTGAAATAATATTAGTCATGTTTACAGTACATGTATCGTTTCAAAACAAGGGGGCTTCAGACCTACAGTAAATACAAAATTAGATTGGTATGAAAAACGTTATACACTCATTTTTCAAAATAATCAACAATTTATCAGAGCATAGGAGAGTGAATTTACAGAACAAAATAACCTTTACTAATTTCAAGTTCATTATTTAATTAATTAATTTTAGGTACAAAAAGGGAACCCAAAAAGTTGATAGTGAATGTTTTCTCTAAGTCATTCTGTCAATAATCATTACAGTAAACCTGCCTCCTCCGCAGGCCCTCGTTGCGTCATGGGAAGGTCACGATCTGGCGAGGGCCTGCGGAATCTTGTAAAAAAAATGGCGCCGGCGTCACGTCAGCAAGTAAATTTCTACATAATCTTGAATATAAACAGATATAAAAAAGCGGCGTGAAACTTGTAAATTAAACTGGCGACTCTTAGGACGTGGAAGGAAGCATTTTTTAACGATAAGGTTTGTTGTCTACACCAACGTTGCACAAATAAAACTGCCTTCTTTAACGAAGCAGGTTCAAAACAACATTTATTCATTTTACAATATTCCGCAGGCCCTCTCGAAATCGTGACCTTCCCATGACACAACGAGGGCCTGCGAAGGAGGCAGACAGTAAACCGCAAAAGGGGACTGGAATTAGGCAACAATATCAGTCATATTTGCCTTCATATCTCTCAAGCCAAATTCAAGCCATGCAGTTACACTGTAGTTGAATTTAGAACAAAACTTAGGGGGCTCAACTACTGTCAGTAACAAGCGTAAAATAATAAAAATAATAAACTTACTTTAAAAGATTTGCATAAATTCTTCGCAACAAACATCGATGAATATTTTATGAATAGAGAAAGAGCAAAGAAATAATCTATATTAAGTACTACAGAATCCTCAACAGGTAAGTAATGCAGGCGCGTATGAGATAATAGCATAATTAGCCTTTCTCACGATGACGAATATCCGCCATTTTTGCGTGGCATCAAATTTTCATTATCCAATGCAGACAATTAAAACAATGTGAAAAGCAAGTTTTCAAAATAAACTAACCATTTACAAAGCAAATTTACCATCATTCGTCCAAAAAATTATAAAAAGTCGCTGTTATGTGGACTTATCGCACAGACTTCAGCTGAAATGCCACCCAAAAATGGCGGCGTGAGAAAGGCTAATTAATATAAATAAAGTAATATATGCTTATGCTTAAAAGAGCTTCATTCGCATGACCTATTTACAGGTATTGCTAAAGCATTCAGAGTAACTAATATTAACAATTAACTAATCTACCAAGTAACAATACTAGCTATTTACAAATTAGTAGTTTCAATTAATATTTACAAGTTTAAAGTAGTTTCAATTTAGGCTAGTATAGCAAGACATATATGTATTTATGTAAGGCCGGACCATTAGTTAGTAGGTCTTGTTATGTTATTTCCGGTTTCAAGGCATTCATTTCGTTTGGTGAAACAGGTCAGGATGTAGTTCGAAAATACATTTAACAGTTTTGGGTCACTAGATGACATGATGGATTGAAGATCATCATGACAATTTAGTTTTGTCGTATAAATTCTAATCGCAGTTTTTCATTTAAAATTTTTCTATCATTTGTGTAATATTTGTAAAATAGGGAAAAATGACATTCGTCTTCAACTTCACCCATGTCACAAAACTCGCACAGCCGTTGCTCACGAGGCACATTGTGGTAACGGCCACATTCAACATTAAGTTTATGGCAACTTATGCGGAATTGGCTTAAGCACGCCGCACACGAGAGCAACTTGCTGAGCTAACCGCCTCGCGAGGCGATTAGCTCAGCAAGTTGCTCTCGTGTGCGGATAGTTTTCGTGAGGATTTGACCTCTCGAGGCCTTGAGGGAAATATCTATCGTGTTTGATATTTTTCGCCTCGCGAGGAAAAATCTCAGCGTCTGGGATGTTGTAGCCAATGACAAACCATGGTTTCTTCATGTGACTTGGAACAAAATGGAGGAAAATGCAAATGATTTTGTCAATTATGTTGTTGTTGAGTAGTTTTCCCAACGTGTGCGGTGAAAATACATAGCTGAGCTAGCTGCCTCGGTTAGCTTAGCAAGTTGCTCTCGTGTGCGGCGGGCTTAAGCGCTCTTCTTTGTGGTTGTTTTTTTATGTTTGTAAGGTATTCTTCTAGTTTGCAGTCGGTTTTGAATTTTTTGTAGAAATCTAGTTTGGAACAGTTGTTTAATCTGTGTTTCCAAAAATTGGTGTATTTGACTTTGGCGTTATCTACGTATTGACGTAGATGTGAGTTTGTTGCGAGTTCTAAGTCATTGAGTTCGTCTGTGGAACTTGCACAATTTTTAATTAAGTGTATTACATTGGAGTAGAAACTTGGTTTGTTGTCTAGAAACAAGTCCTTAGAAAGAAGAAACGCTTGCTTTACAATGGTATAATCGGGTGGGGTGTTGATGTGTATTATGTATTTCATAAGTCTTTTGAGAATAGCAATCAGTAGTGGGAATTTTCCCATTTCACCTCTGCTTGCTATGTTAGTTGCCTTTCGATTTACACCAAGGTAAATTTTACAAAATTTCGAGTGTATTCTTTCAGTTGGGGATTGGTCCCATTTGTTGAGGTCATGGTTTGCAAAGGCGCCCCACACCTCGGAGTTGTATAGAAGAATAGGCGAAATTATACTATCAAATATTTTGACTGCTAGATGTGGGGGTAGTTTGCAAATATCAAGTTTTTTCCTTGTGGAGTTCATGGCACGATGGGCTTTGTCAGCAAGTTGTTTGACTGCTAAAGTAAACTTTCCGTTAGAAGGAAACTTTTCATATATAGAAGGGATGAAACACCGGTCACGTGATTTTTTAAAATGCTTCTAATTTAACCGTTTAGACATAATTTGATTACAACGTATTTAGCATTCTCTTAGACGAACAAAAAAATCTGCATTATAACATAACATATACAAACCTTTCCCTAAATTATTTTTAACAGCAGGCTTTCTTCGCAATTTTCGCGATATGTCTACCAAGAGTAGCCTATCCAGTCGGATGAAGTTCGGCACTCGTGAGATGCTCGGATTTGCATTCAGATTTTAAAAATAGCGGTGATTTGTTGGCGCCGTAGACTATAGTTTCAATATTAAGTTTTTAAAAATGTAAATGATCAGAAATTGCTCTATAAAATCAAAAATAGCTTTGATCGAACGATGACGTGACCCACCGTTTCATCCCTTCTATTATTAATTATCTATTATTAAATATACTACTACCTCATACGCGCCCACTACCAGTTGAGGATTAGTGCTTCAAACAGTATAGATAATATTTTTTTGCTCTCTCTGTTGACATTCTTGTGAAGAATTTATGGAAATCTTTTAAAGTAAGTTTATTATTTTGATTATTTTACACTTGTTACTGACGGTAGTTATGCCCCCTGTGCAAAAACACATTATTCTGTACCTAGTAAACAGCGAGCTATCTCCGACACAGCATCACATATCTTCCACTTCACATTCACTATTGGTTCTTCCTGTATTCCCAGTAACAGTTCTTGTTTTAAAGACAGTTTTAAATCTTCACTTAGACTTTCATAAAGTTCGACAGTTGATGAAAATAACCTTCTAATTAATACGCCAGACATTTGCCGTACCTACAGGATGTTAAAGTCGCATTAATATATTTGAATGTAAGAAAGCAAGCAATAACATGATACTGCAGTTTTAATCGTTTTCTAATATGGAGGCCACTTATGGAGGCCCATATGTGAGAAAAAACAGCCCCGCTGGCAGGGCAGAAAAAATAATTTTCTTCCTGCATGGAGCACAACCTAGAGACAAAAATTTCCTGGAAACCAACGGAGTATTTTTGTGCTAAATCTGCATATACTGTAGTGCATAAGCACATAGTGTTCTAGCTGGGCATGGTTTTAAATTCAAGGAATAATGTCTGTCAACCATATGTTGTTGCGCTCATAGTGGGACGTAAGTCTTAAGGTTTCCTTCAAATTTTCAATGGCAAATCTTCATTCAAACGAATTTCCTGCAGCTGTTTAACATTTCCTGCGAGCAGTGCTCGCGTGCTCGCCTACTTCTTCCACCCCTGCCCGCTGGTAGAGTATAGCCTGCAAGTGCATTGGGTATAGCCTGGTAGGGTATAGCCTGGTAGGGTATAGCCTGGTAGGATATAGCTTGGTAGGATATAGCCTGGTAGGATATAGCCTGGTAGGATATAGCCTGGTGGAGTATAGCCTGGTAGGGTATAGCCTGGTAGGGCATAGCCTGGTAGGGTATAGCCCGGTAGGGTATAGCCCGGTAGGGTATAGCCTGGTAGGGTATAGCCTGGTAGGGTATAGCCTGGTAGGGTATAGCCAGGTAGGGTATAGCCTGGTAGGGTATAGCCTGGTAGGGTATAGCCCGAAGGACTCTTGTAAAAGAGTACCTACAGTAGGCATGGGCAGGTGCGTTTTAAGCTAGATCAAGTACTTTTCAGGGCAAGAACTGTTGCCAAAGGCAGTGCTGTATAGCCAGAGGGGGAGGGGCTCAGGGGCAAAGGGGGCTCTAACCATCCTACCCCACATTGTCCCAGAAAAGGTTTTCTAGCGACACTAGAAATTCAAAATTTCTCTGGGAGAAACATGGTCAAACATCCACCCATTGGCTCCTTACTTTGAAAGACACAAGATCAATCAATAGGGGTAAAATTTCTTATATAAGTACTGTACAACTGCTTCTTATCACAAGATGCGGTGAACTTCCTATGACTTTTAGCTGTTTCTTAGATTAAACGTGTTGCTTTCCCATTTCTACTCCAATTTTGGCAGACATTCTCCTGCCATTATCGTGGACTCACACATGCGCTTGACCATACCCTTTTGTGCAGGAAAAATGAGGATATAATTTATCTTTATTTATCTATAATTGACAAATATTTTTTTATACCTTCTAGTGATTGACCGATAATCGGTATCGGGCCGATTTTTGTCTTATCGGTAGACAATCGGAATCGGTAGAATTATCTATATTTCCGATTGTCTAAAACCGATTGTTGAGAAAATACACACCTTAAAAATTATATGCATTGCACATTGATACACGTTGCGTTCTGACGCAATATGTTAAATTAATGCGCGAAGTGTGCCATTTATTAACGGTTGTAACGATCTTTGATTGCAGTAACATGTTGCGTTGAAAATTATTGTTAAAAAATCGACATGAATGACGTCACCTTTACTCAGTCGACTGATATTATGTCATTATAAAATCGGCAACGGTATCGAGTAGATTGTGACATGAATAATTGGTAATTTTGTCAATCACTAACCTCTTCAGCAGCTGATAATCGGAGAGTTTTGACCAAAAAATCAATCTTCTTGGGATCAGGAATTTGAGCATATTGAGCCTAGCAAATTGAAACAAAATTATACTACGGTTATAAAAGCACCTTGTTAATTAAAACGTTTACCACGTTTTGGTGTAGCCAGTGCTCGAATTTGTTACCAGTTGAAGTTTATGATAACACTGAGAAATAAGTTTGGTTCACAGTTTCGGAATTATCGCCAGAGCAGATCACAATATAATATTGTCTTATAATACACTAGGATGTATGATTCATCAGACAAATTATTCGTCTTGACAGACGATCTATATCTAGTAAAAATTAGGCACCCATCTGTTTGCAACATTTATACACAGAGGAAATTTTGCATTATAAAACTATTGCTTCTTTGCACAACTACATCCAGATCAAGAGCGTAAATCCTGGGGGGATGCATTGCCCCACATTCATATTAATACAATTTATCATAAATTGCATCTGTTGCCAAGCTACGGTCTCCCCTCCCCCTCACTTTTTGGATATTCATATTACTGTACAGTGTACAATCTGTCATAAGTTGCATCTGTTGGCCAACTGCAGTCTCCCCTCACCCACACTTTTTGAAATGGATTTGCTACCTTGATTCAGTTCAACTGCTGCATTAAATTAGCCATTGAAACACATTACGTCCAATAGGTAAAGGGCAGGGTCTGAAATTTATATTTCCTCTCAGTATCCATCTGGGATACCAGGATTCAAAGTTTAGTATCCCCCTACCCTGGATTCCAGAGCCTTCGACAGTAAATAATAAATTGAAGTGTCGCGAAGGCTCTGGTTCAACGGGGCGATTCTTTGATTAAGCCGCGCCAATCACAAAACAGAATTAGTGGTTTGTGATTCTGTTTTGTGATTGGCGCGGCTTGATCAAAGAATCGCCCCGTTGAACCAGAGCCTTCGCGACACTTCAATTTATTATTTACTGTCGAAGGCTCTGGAATCCAGGGTAGTATCCCCCCTGAGAATGCAGTATCCCACTTCTGGATACTGGTTACCAGTACCATAAGTATTATACCCCGTCCCATCCAAATAAGTTTCCATAACTCTCACTGTTACAAATTACAGTAACAACAGAAGACCCAACAGTCAACAACTAAACAATTCATCAATATCCCATTGAGCCACAATGCGCCCCAGTGCGCCCTACTTTTTTTTACTTGTCTAATGCCAGACGATTTTACTCAACAATGGGGTTGCTCTGCAGCTTAAAGGGATACGGCAATATATTTTTTTATTATTTCATTTTAAAGAACTTTTAAAATTATATGTTAATCTCCTTTACCGATTTTGCGTAACTTTATTATTTCTTGAAATATTTTGACTTAAAATAATTTGCTGTCCACCACCTTGGATTAATTTTTATGCAGTTAAACAAAGAGCGCAGTGAGTGTGTTAGTTAGTATGGTCATGGCGATAGTATGTCAGCGGCTGTTAGTGTTTGAGCATGCGCAAACAACAGGCACGCATTGTTCGGAAATCCTTCTAGACTTGGGTGCTTATTATCGGAAAGTTCGGGAATTTTTTTTATCATTTTTTATTTATTTTTTTTCCCACTGACCCAGTCAGTGTGACAGGTGCTTGGGCCTGGTGTGGGGGCTCATGGCTGGGTTGCAGGGAACTGCAAGCCATGAGAGTGGTACAGTATGTTTGTCTGGGGGCTGGTTTTGGAAGTGGAAGCCCTTGGATGACCCAGGCACCCATTATCCACAAGCGATACAGTTGTTAAATCTCATTATCGGTGATTTTAGTGATGTCATAAGCAGGGCTGGCCATATAAAACTACATAAACTACCAAATAACATTAAGTCTTGTTTTAAAAGTCGTCAGACAGTTTTTTATATCAAATAGTTACTGAAGTATATGATTTTGGGCTCATTATAACCAATTGCTCTATGGATAAAATTCTTGCGTGATCCTGCTTATGATGTCACATGCATATCCACCAAAATCCAAGATGGCGGAAAGCTCGCTGATTCAGTGTGATTTCAGTTCTGTTCAAATATCTCAAGAAATAATAAAGTTACGCAAAATCGGTAAAAGAGATTAACATATACTGTAATTTTAAAAGTTCTTCCAAATGAAATATTAGAAAAATATATTGCCGTATCCCTTTAATTATCATTTATTTATCATTTTTAAATCAAGAAATAAATAATTGAATCAAGAAATTACTCTCAAAATAAATAATTGCTGCCGCAGCGAGCGAGCCTGAAGCGAGCGAGCAAGGCTGGCAGCAGAACCTAATTTTGTTTTGTGGGTCGAAATCAAAATTTTCTATTTGGCGCATTGCATGACGGTACCAGTGAACTTTAACCGTGGTGCAGCGCGGTCAGGCATAAGGCAAACAGGCAATGTGATCATGTTTCATCTTTGGTCTTCTTTTATGGAAAGCCATAGCTGGCTTAAAGTGATCAAACGGCATTTTGTTGGGTGCTTTTATACGGCGGTGCTTTTGGCATTATACACGGTGCTTTCGCCATTATACGCGGTGGTTCCAGTATTATACGCGGTGCTTTCACCATTTATATACGCGATGCTTTTGCAATTATACGCAGTGGTTCGAGTACTATATGCGGTGCTTTTAATATTATACGCGATGCTAGCTTTCATTCATTCATTCATTCAACATTATTTCCATATTCTTTCCATGACATGTATATGATTTAACGATTGCTTAAATTTGGTATGTGCATGTTTGACAAATGCTTTTTGCCTATGGTCTGCAAGGACAATGACATGCTTTTCTGTGTATATACATGTAAATGAATATAACGCAGCGAATGCGCCAAACAGTATAAACGCGGCTGAAATACGATATTAAAATCTTAAATGTGCCGTATGATTTAATTATGTTTTAGGATTTACAAATGCTTTGTCATTTGTATTTATACTTGTACTGCATCACAAGGCAGTACGTACTGTAAGTGAAAAAACTTCACATGTGAGATTGTCTTGTACATATTTTTGCTTTCTTTGATAAACACTATTAAACACGCCAATTTTAATTAGTGAGACGCAATGTGAATGTCACCTGCATGTCATTGTCATTGCCCTTTAACCCCTGGTCTAATTGGCCGCTTTTGAAAATATTGATCATGACTGAACCGCACTGCCTTAATTAAATCATAGATTATAAATGCAAACTTTGTGTTTTAAAAACGGGTTAGGATAAAACGCGGATACGGACGGACGGATGAATGACGGACGGACCGATGACATATATATGTCGTTATATAGTCTGCGCGCAGCCGCGCAGGGTAGTTAGTGCCTTACGTCTTCGCTGGTTGTTATACTTTAAAATAATTTTGTATGTACCGATAAATCAATATTCCGAGTATATAAATATATAAACTGGGATGTCACACTGATAGCTTGTTTACATTTCCTGGAGCATCATGAAATCTTATGTTTAACCACGGTGGTTTAACCCATTAGCTGGCAATGCGCCCTTCCCTTGTCGAGCACCAGAAGATTTTACTCGTCAGTGGTATAGGTGACTGCCAGTAAATGGGTTAACAAACCTATCTGCCAATGGCTCTTGTTAATTCATCAGCACAGTAATGACCCCTACTTTAGTATTTACCCTGTCCAACGCCAGACGATTTTTAATACTCAGTCAGTGGTAGGGTACTGTCAATAAATGGGTTAACAAGAATAACAATAATTAGCCTGCTTTTCCCAGGCTTGCCCAATTTTAGGAACCGCCTGCCATGCAGGCTAAACAATAATAGGATGTTTCTGAAGGACACGTTCAACACCCTGTAGTTTGTCTTTTGCTGTCAAAGGCAGCATTACTGCCCTGTGGGTAAGTTCTAGTAATATTATTAAACAAGCATCTTATGTAAAGTTTTTGGGCGTATTAATTGACCACAATTTTTCATGGAAGAACCACATTAGCTCAGTTCAGAAAAATG